GTGTTTAAGCTGTTAATTCAGAGCCAAGACTTTCCTGTTGCCTAACACTTTTGTGCCAACTATAAAGCTAATTGCCCCCCCGATAAAAACAATTTAAGGCAATAATTAACTCACCTCCTCTGGGATGAGGCACTTGTTGAACTTCATAACTCTGTAGAGATACTCTGAAGACAAGAACGCAAGGGTGTAGATCACAGTGTAATAGATAAATGCTCTTCTATAGTAGTAGAACTTTTAAAAATAATTTAAGTCATGCATGGCTGATGATGCTTCTTACCATCGTGGCCCCAGGACATGAGGACATTGTCAAGGCCACAGTTTGGTTCATAGATCCCAAACTCAGTGCTAAAGGGGGAAAAACATAACAGGATCAAATCCCTGCACTTTTAATAATTAGACTACAATTTACTGTCAGCAGTCATAAATTTACAAGGAGCATATTTTCAATAGCACAAATAAAAAAATCTTTTTGGTCAGCTGATTAACACCGACTGTGGACTGAACAGATACAGATGTGTTTTTATGTCCACTGAGCAGTTTGCTTTCAAGCACACTTAACTTTTTTTCTGTTCTCGTCTGTAAAATATGTGCAATTATTTTGTGAAATTCGCAGAGTCAACGTCAGAATACCAACTTGTATTTGGGATTATTGTCATCTGGATTTTTCAGGAAGGTGTTGTCTCTGAACACAATGGAGTTTTGAAATTTGCAGCCAACGGGAAAAGTGTCACCCACTACAGCCCACTGCAGGACACAGAGACACAAACAGTTACCTTAGAAACCTATTAAACATGAAACAAATGGGATTCATATAGTAATAATAACAATAATGAGCAATAAACTAAATGAACACAACTGTGTTAAAACTTCCGTTTGAGGAAAAGCAGCTCTGAAAACTTTGGGAACGATGAATCTGCTGTGCCAGCTTTATCTATCTTGGACCTATCCCTCACCTGCGGTTCATCCCAGAGAGCCATGATCTTTCCGACATCATGGATCAGACCAACCAGCTGGAACCATTCTGAGAGGTACAGTAAGTACAAGATATTTACTCTATAGCATGAGCTTTTCCACAGTCTCGGTGCATTTCTGATTCTCTCTCTGCACTTTACCTTTGTCTGGGTGTTCTTGGCGGATGCCTTCAGCAGTCTGGAAAGCGTGGAAGGAGTTGGGGAAGTCCACATCGGGATCAGACTCATCCACAAGCTGGTCTAGAGACATGATGGCATCCATCATCCCCATCCGGGTGTGGTTACAACCGTTCCATTCAGTGTGCTGCATCAATATTAGACAGTTAAATAACTCCAAGCGGTGTGTGGAAAAATGCTCTGGTGAACAGATAGAAGTGATGCTATTCAGCGGTCAAAGGAGCTTGCAAAGAAAAGCGTCTGGACTTCTTTAAGTTGCTTGAAGACGTTTCACCTCTCATCCGAGAAGCTTCTTCACTTCTAAGGTCAAATGGTGGGGAGTCCCAGATTTAAACCTAGTGGGAGTGACCCCCCACAGC